AAACAAAACGTGTTGCACAATGCTTGCACACTGTTGCACTTTTATCCACAAGTTTCTTTCCGCCGTCATCGTAGGTCACTATAAATGCAAAGTGGTCCCATACAGCAGACCTATAAAGTGCTGCTGGCGCGTCTTCCAACTCCTGTTCTTTTCCACTCGCCATACCCACACAATTCTCCACAACAACTGACTTTTTTTCTGCTACACCCGGCTATGCTGCTTCGCTTCTTCTTCTTCTTGTTTACTACTGGTGGTTGGCTTTGGTCGCAGTACCGCCACCTTCTGCTCTGGAGTGTAAACACTTCGCCTATGAGAAAAAGGAGCAGCGCATGAACCGAACGAAACACACGCGAATCGAACCGAGACAGTCGAACCGAACGGTTCGGACGGTTTTCATAAACCGTTCCATCCCTAATATATATATATATATATATATACACACACATGTGTGACAGTATATATTACATATGTATAAAGGAAACAGAGAAACAGATATTAAAAAGTGTCGAAATAAAAATTTGATTAAAATCTAAATTATTATTAAATACATATAATTGCTTTGTGAAATGAAAGTCGCAAAAAAAAACACCATTATGAAATAAATATAATTCAATCAATGAATAACTATGTTTTGAAACTAAGTAAATTATAAAAAGATAAAATATCTTAGGACAGAAGATTTATGAAATACATAAATAGATACAGTGATCTTGAAGTCATGGATAACTTAAGGAATGACAACTTGGGCTAAATAATATTTTTATTGTGTGATTTGTTGTATTTCATTTGGAGGTTTTTATTTCTTTGATGAAATATTATTGCTGATGTATTTATGAGAGTATTTTTTATAGAGTATATTTATTGATTAGTTAGTTTTTAGGCTCTTAATAGATGAATAAAAAATGTGATTGGCAGCAACACAGGATTTTTTTTCTTTGATTTTTACAGGCAAGTTTAGTGTTACATAATTTCCCAACAAAGAGAGCTATGATGGGATTAAAATAACCTTGACATGTACTCTTTCCAATCTTCAGCTGCCACTGCCGTTCTTAAACTGATGGCTGCTGGCGGCTCAAGAGGCTGACACCTTGTTAACATGCAAACGTTTACCTTTGATCAGCCGACAAAATCTATCAGTTTGCATCTAATAACCTGTTGCATTTTGAATTTCAAGTACACGTCTCAGATTAATGAATCAGGGATGTTAACCTTTTTATTTCTTCATTCAACACCCACCCCATTACTTCTCCATTAGATTCTGTTTTTCCAGGATCTATGGAGTTAGATTGGTCTCAATTTTCACAAATACACATATGTGATTCATACATGCACAGGACAGGATCCACACATGCACAGCATGATTCAATAAAGCACTTCTGGTCCATAAACAATTTAAAATTAAATTACAAAGTTCCAGTGATCTTTAAACTTTACTGCATTTCTGTGCATTTTTGACTCTTTCCTGATGTGCCTCAATAAACACAAATGCATTTATTTAAACAGGGAAAGATTTGCCACCTATCACAACGCTCCCTCGTATAAGCCAATCACAAGAAACTATACCAATGTATTTCAACTTACCAATAAAATAAAACAAATTACACATTAAAAATATTATTTAGCCCAAGTTTTCATTCCTTAAGTTATCCATTACTGTATCTATTTATGTATTTCCTAAATCTTCTGTCCTAAGATATATTATCTTTTTATAATTTACTTAGTTTCAAAACATAGTTATTCATTGATTGATTTATATTTATTTCATAATGTTTATTTTTTGTGACTTTCATTTCATAAAGCTATAGCATTACGGTTTTATAAATAATCCAACCTGGGTGTGGAAGCCTTGAGCTTTGTGTACTTTCTTTTTATTTAGTTTATTTGCTTTTTCTGCATAGAAAGTACTCCAGCATCCATGTCTCCCTTTGTGTTTATCTGTGTATCTCTCCTGAACACTAGTATTGAGTTTTTCCATTCAATAACTTCTTCTTCTGTTTTTCCCATAAGAACTCTTGACCCTGTTCTACTAGTAAACCCTACACAGATAAGACACGGCGAATCTATATGCATGTGCATTTGTTCTCATGTGTCCCAACCTGTTTTCCACTTGTATTTTATTGGATCTGACGTGAGAGTGGTTCCCCTTCTGAAGGGACTCACGGTACCATTATGGTGTCTACACTCCTTTGGGCGGAAGCCCATTAGCGACGCTCCAGTCGGCGCAGTGTTGGACGCCCATCCCAGTAGCGTTCCCTGTCAGCAGTAGACACATTACCTCCACCACATTGCCTCTGTGCGTTGTGAGACTCCTGTGTGTGTTTGTGAAGAGGAAGGTTAAAGTCATCCACCCTCTCTGTCCTGCTCCTCTTTGAATGTTTTTTCTTTTTCTTATTTGAGTCTTTCTTTCACTGCAAACTGTTTCTATCCCCTGAGGCATTGCTGCTCTTACAGGATCTTAAATTGTAGATCAGTTTGAAGAACTCTCATGACTTATTCATTGACTGTAGTCTTTGCCTATGAAAAGAACAATTTCTATGTGTTGCTGTTTGCAACCTCTAACCAAGCTATTTTTGTCAGTAGTATATGACATTAAAATGACTGAATATGCCTTATATATTACTTATATGTATTTCTAATGGGTTACTTAAGGCTATTTCTAGGTTTTGTCTAAGATATGCAGTCAGGCATGAAAATGGTTTTTGTCTCTGAAGCTGAATCTTTCACTCAGCAGACCTTTTCAGAGATACGGACGTGCTTAGAGGTTAGAGGTTATTTGTGGATCACCCTGAAGGTCTAACCAGACCGTGAGAAAAAATAAGGAGCAGTCATATAGCAGAGTACATCCCTAAACACAACAGATATGGGATGAATGTCTACAAACATTTTTAAGGTCTTCACAGTCATATCAAAAGCTGGATCTTTTTTTTATTATTGAAACAAAGACTAAGTTATGTTGGTCTATGTTTGGGACAAAATTAAAGCCTTATTCTGAAGGTCCCCTGTCCTAAATCGTCTAGATCAGAGGTCACTGATTAGTAGCCTGGGTGCCATTCCGAACTTAGTCCCGCCCACAAAGTTTGAGGTCGGGAAGTTCAGTCTGGCTCTGCTCCATAGTAGCGCGAGTATTATCGCCCACTGTCAGGCGATCCAATCAAATTGTCAGGGCGGGCTTTATACGATGATGGACAGATGATCAACAGTAACGTAATCAACCACGTGACCAATGCGCGCTTGGGTGACAACAATAATGGCTGCCGCTGGAGAGTTTAGGTGAGTAGATTCTGCGGTCTGTTCTAGAAGATATCGACAGCAAATTAATTTTAAAAGAGGAACAGAGAAACGCGATCAAGTCTCATCTTCTTATTCTAGGCGTGCAACTGCACGCTTTGATTTTTGTGGACAACAACTATGCCTCGCTTAACATACGTCACGCACTCCGTTGCTCTTATTGGTTGTAGGTCTATCCAATTGAGTGCAGAGGCATTTTTTTTCCTGGTTCGTTCGAAACACGCCCCATAATCACAGTTCTATGGAGCAGTATCAGACTCATATTCTGACTAGAATTGAGTCGGACTACGTCAGGCTAACTGATTAGTGGACCGTGGTCCAAATCCGGACCCAACCTGATTTAAAATATTTATAAATTACTGCATGTTGTCCGACAACTGTGTCTAACTTCACTTGCGCCACTTCTCCTGTTAATATGGTAACGCCCTCCGGAGTGTCCGGAACCCAGAAACACGTGATACAAATTAGCCAATGAGCTGCTGTCAGTCAGAGCTGCTGTAGCTACTTTTAGACACAGCAGGCAAACCTGCAGCAAGCCAGGCGATGGGAAAGAAGGAGAAGACGATGAGAAAAAGAGAGCAGAGAAAGTGTGGACTGCTGGAAGAACCGCAGTGAACTAGTGACAGAAAAGTGAAATGGTGCTCAAAGATGACCCTGCACATTTTGAGTATGTTTGGCTCAACCTGCTGCTGTGAAGCAGGATTCTCCACCATGAACAGAATCAAAAATAAATATGGATCCAGGCTCAGAATGAGCACCTTGATATGTGCTTGAGAATGGCTTAGTCTGCATTCAAACCCAGGTTTAAAGCCTTGCAGGGCAGCATAAAGCCCACTGCTCTCATTAAGCCATAACAAAAAAATAAATAAAGTCCGTTTAGGTGTTTTATAAAATACATGAATCAGGAAATTGTCTTTATACCAAACTGAACGATTGTTCAGTTTTTTTTTTTTTATATTTCTTTTTTTAAAGAGTCAATGTATAACATGGATGCATAAAAACCTCATTTTATTACAGATGTTACTGTTCTAAATGTTTAAATAAAGTAACATTGGTTTGCAGTTTCCTGAGGGTTTCATACTGTGAAGAGCTGGAAGAAAAAGTTTCCCTCAATTAAAATGTTTTCCTCTAATACAGTGTATACACAGATGTCTTATAGGGATTTCTTATAGTCATTTTAGGACAAGTAAAAAAAAAAATTTGTGAATGTATTTGTGAGAAAACTGTTATGTAGATCTAAAGTATTGTCTTTAGTGGTTACAGCAGTGAACCGTGTACTAAGACATGGTCAACAATCATTACATCATATTTGTAATGTTTTTCTGGTAGCAGGAAGATTTCATCTTTCATAAGAAGCTGGAATGAATATTCAAAGCTTTGACTTTCACTGCAACTTCCTAACAGATGTTGCTGTAGAAAATGATTTGGTTGCTGTTTTGCAGATTAGCTATGACCGGTCTCCAATCAACCGAATGATGAACTGCCTGACCTTTTTTTTTTAACCACTAACTTTCTTTCATATCCTGAAAGAATGTCCTTTTTGCCATTTTGCTTTTTGTACAGTTGTGGAATCTGCCTCTCTTATTTCATGCAGCAGCTCCACCTTTCTGATCGTATCATGAAAGTCTAAACTACTGGATTGGGTTTGTTACAAAAAGCATAAATCTGTACCTTAAAAGCTTGAATGAATTTTGTATCCCTGTGTGTCACAGATCAGGATGGAGCAGAGCCCAGCGCCAACTCTGTGTCTGCCTCCAATCTTCTGCGTCTGTCCCACTACACTGGAAGACAAGAGTGGCTCCAGAAGTCTCAGCTGCTCTTGGCAGCATTTTCCGACCGTCTCACCAGGATTCCCATTGCTCTACCTGAGATGGTGCGGGCTCTAATGGCCCAGCACTACACACTTCAACAGGTTAGCTACTTAATTGTAATGATCTTGGTTCTGTTGTTTTTCTTTAAGTTTTCTGTTTCAAGTTTAACCAGGTTTTTCATTGTTTTCTAGCTTTTTTGGTGTGTCTGGATTCATTTAAGTTGCTTAGGTTTTTCTGTCTGTCCTCTGCTGCCTCCTTGTGTTCTTTTCCCTTGGCTTCCTCATCAGCTCTAATCACACCTGTTCCCTATCAGCTCGTTAGCTCTCTCTTTGTTCAGTCAGCCATAAATACACTCCCTCTGCAGTCCCTCTTTGCTGGTTCCTCGTCTTACCTTTCCTCACCCTGGCTCCTTGTTGGTTTTTCCCTGATGTCTCCATGGTTCTGGTTAGTTTTTGATTTTTATGTTGGATTTTTGGATTCCTGTTTTTGTTTAACTTTTTTAAAGTTGGATTTTTGGATACCTGTTTTTTTTGCCTGATCTTGTAATAAACCCTCCAAGAATTCATCTCTGCCTCCCAGCTTCTGCGTTTGGGTCCTATCTAAACCTTTTTACCAAAGCGTGACAGAAGGAACCAGCCAAGCATGGACCCAGCAGAACTCGGCACGGACGCTCTGAGGAGAATCTCTCTCACTCTTGTGAATGCTCTGGACTCCATATCTACTCTCAGTCCACCTTGGAAGAGGGTGAGTGCGGCTGACCAATTAAAGCCGATCTTCCTCTCTAACTCCTCACTTCTATCACCCCCAGTTTTGTCTGAGCTATTCGAGGAGTTGGAGTGGAACCGCCAAGCCGCCTTCGCCCAACTCTGCAATAGACCTCCACCACCCAAACCATCATTCCATCACCTTCCCATTCTGCTGTCTCTTACCTCCGATCCTGTTCCCCCACCATTACCACCTGTTGGTCCTCCCCTGCCATCTGCTTCCTCCAGGCGTAAGCAACGCCGCCGGAGGAGGAAGACAACCACCTCTCCGGCGGATCAGCCTGACGCCTCCACTCCCTCTCCGGCGGGTCAGCCTGACGCCTCCACCCCCTCTCCGGCGGGTCAGCCTGACGCCTCCACTCCCTCTGCGGCGGGTCAGCCTGACGCCTCCACTCCCTCTCCGGCGGGTCAGCCTGACGCCTCCACTCCCTCTCCGGCGGGTCAGCCTGACGCCTGCTTCAATCCCACTCTTCAGGTCAGTTTCCCCTATGGCCTTCGCCGTCACCTCCATGACCAGCAGTTAGCTCCTCGAGTTAGAGGTTTAAATTCAGTCACCATGATAACACCCACTGCAGTCAGAGCACCACATATTGAGGAGTCAAAGTTATGGGACTACTTTTATGGGCAAAGGGAGGATCTATTCCCTTTCCTTCCACCTCCATCGGTTCCCTGTCAGCCAGCACATCCCAAGCCCTTTAGAGGGCCAGTTTCCCCAGCTCCAGAGCCCAGTGGAGGGCCAGTTTCCCCAGCTCCAGAGCCCAGTAGAGGGCCAGTTTCCCCAGCTCCAGAGCCCAGTAGAGGGCCAGTTTCCCCAGCTCCAGAGCCCAGTAGAGGGCCAGTTTCCCCAGCTCCAGAGCCCAGTAGAGGGCCAGTTTCCCCAGCTCCAGAGCCCAGTAGAGGGCCAGTTTCCCCAGCTCCAGAGACTCCTGAGCCCATTAGCGGGCCGTTTAGCCTAGCGCCAGAGACTCCTGAGCCCATTAGCGGGCCGTTTAGCCTAGTGCCTGAGACCCCTGAGCCAGCCCTGAGCCGTCTTGAGTCAGCTCTGTGCCTTTTAGAAACCCCTGAGTCAGCTCTGTACCGTTTAGAGACCCCTGAGTTAGCTCTGTGCCGTCCAAAGACCCCTGAGCAGAACTTGAAGGAGGTGTCTGAATTCGAGGTATGTGGCTTTACGCCTCCTAGGACCTCTCTGCAGGCGCCCCAAGCCACCCAGAGCCCTCTGCGGGCACTTCAAGCCACTTCAGAGACTGAACCTTTGCGGCCATGGGTGGTTTCCCCCATGCTGGATGTGGAGCCACAGTCGTTGGTCTCCCCTGTTCCTGAGGGTGAGCCGCAATCGGCGGGCTCCCCTGTTCCTGAGGGTGAGCCGCAATCGGCGGGCTCCCCAGTTCCTGAGGGTGAGCCGCAATCGGCGGGCTCCCCTGTTCCTGAGGGTGAGCCGCAATCGGCGGGCTCCCCTGTTCCTGAGGTGGAGCCGCAATCGGCGGGCTCCCCTGTTCCTGAGGTGGAGCCGCAATCGGCGGGCTCCCCTGTTCCTGAGGTGGAGCCGCAATCGGCGGGCTCCCCTGTTCCTGAGGTGGAGCCGCAATCGGCGGGCTCCCCTGTTCCTGTCCAGGGGCCGCAATCGGCGGACCCCTCTGCTCCTGTCCAGGGGCCGCAATCGGCGGGCCCCTCTGCTCCTGTCCAGGGGCCGCAATCGGCGGGCCCCTCTGCTCCTGTCCAGGGGCCGCAATCGGCGGCACCCTCTGGGGGTGTTCCTGAGCCGCAGTCGGCGGCAGCCTCTGGGGGTGTTCCTGAGCCGCAGTCGGCGGCAGCCTCTGGGGGTGTTCCTGAGCCGCAGTCGGCGGTAGCCTCTGGGGGTGTTCCTGAGCCGCAGTCGGCGGCAGCCTCTGGGGGTGTTCCTGAGCCGCAGTCGGCGGCCACCTCTGGGTCTGCTCCTGAGCCGCAGTCGGCGGCCACCTCAGAGTTTGTTCCTGAGCCGCAGTCGGCGGTCACCTCTGAGCCGGTTCTTGAGCCGCAGTCAGTGACCCCTCCTGCTCCAGTTCCTGAGCCGCAGCTGACGGCCTCCTCGGACCCTGTTCCAGAGCCGCGGCCCGCGGTCCCCTCAGAGACTGTTGCTGAGCTGCTGCAACGGAGACATCGTGCTCCTCCGAGGTTCCTGCTGCAACGGAGACGTCGTCCTCCAATGGTCCCCCTTCGTTGCCTGTCCCACGGCTGGCCACCTGAACGTCTGCCGTGCCCCCGGCCCCGCGGCCGGTCACCAAGGTCTCTGCTTCATCTCCGGCCCCGCGGCCGGCCTCCAGAGCGTCTGCCTCGCCTCCGGCCCCGCGGCCGGCCTCCAGAGACTCTTCCTCGCCTCCGGCCCCGCGGCCGGCCTCCAGAGCGTCTGCCTCGCCTCCGGCCCCGCGGCCGCCCTCCAGAGACTCTGCCTCGCCTCCGGCCCCGCGGCCGGCCTCCAGAGACTCTTCCTCGCCTCCGGCCCCGCGGCCGGCCTCCAGAGACTCTTCCTCGCCTCCGGCCCCGCGGCCGCCCTCCAGAGACTCTGCCTCGCCTCCGGCCCCGCGGCCGCCCTCCAGAGACTCTGCCTCGTCTCCGGCCCTGCGGCCGGCCTTTCAGAGACTTTCAATTGTCCTCGCCCACTCTGGATGGGTTGCGTTTTGTTTCTTGGACTGTTTTTGGCTTCTTGCCCTCCTTCCTGGTTACCCCTCCGCCCACCCGGGGTTGTTTTTTGTTTTTTTGGACGTTAAAGGGGCGTCTGGAATCCGCCCTTAAGTGGGGGGCTCTGTAATGATCTTGGTTCTGTTGTTTTTCTTTAAGTTTTCTGTTTCAAGTTTAACCAGGTTTTTCATTGTTTTCTAGCTTTTTTGGTGTGTCTGGATTCATTTAAGTTGCTTAGGTTTTTCTGTCTGTCCTCTGCTGCCTCCTTGTGTTCTTTTCCCTTGGCTTCCTCATCAGCTCTAATCACACCTGTTCCCTATCAGCTCGTTAGCTCTCTCTTTGTTCAGTCAGCCATAAATACACTCCCTCTGCAGTCCCTCTTTGCTGGTTCCTCGTCTTACCTTTCCTCACCCTGGCTCCTTGTTGGTTTTTCCCTGATGTCTCCATGGTTCTGGTTAGTTTTTGATTTTTATGTTGGATTTTTGGATTCCTGTTTTTGTTTAACTTTTTTAAAGGTGGATTTTTGGATACCTGTTTTTGTTGCCTGATCTTGTAATAAACCCTCCAAGAATTCATCTCTGCCTCCCAGCTTCTGCGTTTGGGTCCTATCTAAACCTTTTTACCAAATCGTGACATTAATATGCCAGGATCAAGACTCCTATTGGGTTGTGTTGACTATTAAATTAATATTATGAGGTTAACTTTGACAGAGTAGTCATCATTGACCACTGTGCAGTTCCAACCCATCTGTTTTTAATCTGTCAGTCGTGAGGCCTGAAAGACAGCTTAGTTTTGGGAGAGGGATTGTTTACCTGAATGTTCCCTGGAACTCATTTTCATGTCCGCCTACTGAAAGTATTCAGTGTTTCAGCTTGCATGACAAATGGAGCAAGCATAATAGACATAGCCTTTATTGAGTAACGAAAACCGAACAAAACATTATGCAGCACGAGAGGAAGAAGCTGTTTAAACAATGAGCGTCTGTATATTGATTGTGCCGGAACATTTCTGTTCAGGAACACTGCAAAGGAGAAAAGCATCGCCTAATTAAAAACTAAAAAAAAGGTTCTATTAGGAAAGAACTATAAGTAAACAGTCAGGAATTATTTTAACTAAAGGTTAAAGCAAACAATCAGACTATACATTTTCAGCTTGCTATAGTATAATTATAAAAAGCAGATGTTTTATTGCATAATTATTTTTTAACAGCTACCTGAAGAGGTACATATTCACCCTGAAAACCTTTATCACCATGTATCTACCATGTATCACCAACTAATAAGTTCTAAAACTTTTTAGAAGCAAGGGTTTAATATCTTCAACAAATGAAAAAACAAAAACATCCAGTTGACTTGCTTCAGCTCTTATGATGACATTCTGAACGACTGAGAATCATTTATAGGGTAGGGAGGAGAAAACTTTTATTTATTTTGATGAACTAATTCTAAAAACTATGCTATGCACTACCTTTTCTTTGTAACTCTTCAATACAATTAAGTTCAACCAGTTTTTTTCTGACACCAACTTAGTAGCCATTTAAAATGTCAGTCTCAGTATAAAGAAACTCTCTACAGTAGTAGTCATTCAAAACTTCCCCACTTTCCTTGGCTGGTCCCTTACAATTCCTTTTTAAACATCAATCTTTGTACTAAAATATTCTTCCTGTCATGATTTGTGGACAT